CTGCCGGGGCCACCCGCCCGGCGCCAGACGGCCGAGCCCCCACCGAGTTGGGCCACCACCACCACCAACGCCCCCCCCAGCTGCAGGGGGTGGCAGGCCACCGGCGACGAGCCTGCGCGGACAAGGACATGGGTGCTGTTAGGAAGGGGGTGGTGGAGATGACCACGGGGGGGATGTTGGGGACAGGGTGATGGAGACAACCCTCCGGGGACACTGGGGACGTTGGCCATGGGGTGACTGGGATGACTTTACACGGTCAATGGAGACATTAGGGTGATGGTGATGACCCTGTGGGGACACTGGGGACATTGGGGTTGGGGTGATGGGGACAACTCTATGGGGACATCGGGGACGTTGGGGTCGGGGTGAGGATCCTATGGGGAAATTGGGGACATTGGGGAGGGGATGACGATGACACCCCTATGGGGACACTGGGGTGATGGGAATGACCTTATGGAGACGTGGGGGATGTTGGGGACGGGGTGATGAAGACAACCCTGTGGGGACGTTAGGGTTGGGGTGACGGTGATGACCCCGTGGGGACATTGGGGAGACCTTAGGCTTGATGTTGTAGTCCACAAGGGCATTTTGGGGTCCCTCTAGTTCATTTTTGGGGCGCTGGGATGGGTTTTGGGGTCCCCAGGGCATGTCTGACCTCCTCTAGGACATTTTTGGGGTCCCTCAGGCCATATTCAGGGTGCCCCAACAATATTTGGTGTGTTAGCAGGGGTTTGGGCTCCTCAGGGGCATTTTTGAGGACCTCCAGGCCATTTTTGAGGTTCCTCAGAACATTTTTTGTGTCCTCCAGGCCATTTTTGGGGTGCTGGCATGGGTTTTGAGTCCCCAAGGGCATTTTTTTAGGACCTCCAGGCTGTTTTTGAGGTTCTTCAGACCATTTTTGGTGTCCTCCAGGCCATTTTTGGGACCCCCTGGCCAGTTCTGAGGTCATTCAGACCATTTTTTGGGTCCCCCCCGACCATTTTCGGAGTGCTAGCACGGGTTTTGGGGTCCACCAGGGCATTTTTGGTGTCCTTCATGCCGTTTTTGAGGTTCCCCAGCCCATTTTTGAGGTCTCTCAGCCCATTTTTGGACCCCCTCCCTGACCATTTTTGGACACACACACACCCCCCCCAGATCTTTTGAGGGTTTCTCCTTACCATGGTGGGTTTTGGGGTGCCAGGACTCACCATTGATG